CAACGCGCACTGGCACTCCGCTGCATCCTGAGGAGGAGGAGGAGGAGGAGGAGGAGGAGGAGCGAGGAGGGGGAGGGGGAGGGGGAGGAGGAGGAAGACGAGGGAGGAGGAGGAGGAGGAGGAGGAGGAAGACGAGGAGGAGGAGGAGGAGGAGGAGGAAGACGAGGGAGGAGGCAGCCGACGTCGGCCTCCGCAAGCCTCCCCAGCCCTGTGTTCCACTGCATGCTCCTCCACATCCTTGACCAGGGCATCTCGCCTGGGGACCGCTTCGGGATGGGCTGGCGAAGCTGCGCGAAGCGCACCGCCCCGAGCAGATCGCATTGCCCTGTGGGCCGATCCCCGAAAATATCCCATTGCGCTGCGCGCTGAATTATGGGGAAAACAAACCTACCTCGCTTTTGACCACCCTCGCTTCCAAGAGACACCAAACGATGCCAAATGGCAGCCTGTACTGGTCAGGCCGCTTGACGAGGAGGCGCGTGGTATGGCTTGGTTTTGCCTGGAAGCGAAAGCGGGGTAGGTAATTCACGCTCTGATGAATGCAGAAGTCCCCGCGCACGGTATCACACATCCTGGACTCGTGTCCACCATGAGTTCTATAGACGCGCACAACATATGCCTCACATGATCCCGAAGTCCCCGACTCCGCCTTCACAACTTCGCAGTCGAGGCCTGCAACGAGCAAGCCCAAAACCGACCAGGGGAGGTGATTAGGGGAACAAGAAGTGGCATAAACATAAAAACTCTGAGGTCCGCGCAGATTTCTCGGATCGGCGCTGGACCCCTTTCCCCGGCGCGCGGAGCGCGCCAGGGGCGGCGCCGGAGGTCCAGCGCGGATCCGAGCAATCCGCGCGGACCTCCGAGTTTCCATGCTTATCTCACTTTTTGCTCCCCTGGTGGTAGGGGCCAAGGCCGACCGGCCATAAACAGGGGGAACCGTGATCCCTACCCCCCTGGGGGGGCCCATCGCGTCGACGATCTCTGGAGAGAGGCGTCGACCCTGACCTTCCAGAGTGCTAAAAAATAGCCCTCCAGACCTATAGACCTATCTGGGCTGCCTAAAACCAAGACAGGAATTAAGATATCGAGATCCTGGTGTTATTTTTTAGCCCTCCTGGAAGGTCAGGGGAAATCGATGGGCCCCCCCTTGGGG